AACATTTTATCAAGGTGAATAAAACAAAAGAAATTCAAAATTTTACCTTTATTCCTCCAGTGACATACAACATTGCACTATCTTCAGTGTCTGGGTTGTTGAAGGGTCAATTTCTTTTGTTGGTTCAATTTCTTTTGTAGAACAGGAAGTGAAAGGATCACTAGCTCCGTCATAACTCCGAGCAGATGCAATCTCAGAAGGAGAGGAAGTTAATCCATCAACGGTAGGCCCATCTTGAAGTTGATAAATCACCATCTCCTTCAAGCTTGGATGGTGATGATTTTTCAACTTCCATTCCTACACACACTGAGAGCTACGATGGGCTTACCGTATGTATTAACTTCCTCTCCTTCTGAGATTGCACCTGCTGGGAGTTATGAGGGAGCTAGTGATCCTTTCACTTCCTGTTCTACAAAAGAAATTGACCCAGACACTGAAGATAGTGCAATGTTGTATGTCAAAGGAATAAAGTTAAAATTTTGAATTTCTTTTGTTTTATTCACCTTGATAAAATGTTAACTTGTTTGTTCTGGATTCTCAGTGAGTAACTCATACGCGCCGGCGACTCTCTCCTTAAATTGGCAGATCCCGGCTCCGCCAAAGGGGAAGAGTGGATCCCGGTCCTGTTGCAAGCATCTAGCAACAGATCGAAGCAAATCGGTATTGGATGGCTCGATGAACCAACGGAGAGAAGAATTTTGAGAGGAAAAAATACAAGAATTTGGTGGAAGTGATACATGATTGGTGGAGGAGGCGGCCATGAGCGGCGGTGATAAGAAATAAAGAGATGAATGATGATGGTTAGATCGGAGGCAGAGGAAGATGCTGGAGAAGGAGATGGTGAGAGGAGGCGAACAAGATAAAGTCAAGGTGTGATGGAAGAAATGAATCGAGGTTTCTAGAATTTTTGATATGCATTATTGAAAGGTTAAAATACCTTATTTGATCCTTCAACTTTTAGATTTATATTAAAACTATTCCTCAACTTCGTAAGGCAGTAAAATTTTCCCCAAACTTTAATTTTTGGTATCGAAATAATCCTCAAACCTCGGAGATAATACTAATTTAATTCTTAAATCTTGAAGATAAATAATAACTTAGTCCTTAAACTTTGATTATAAATATTAATTTAATTTTTTAATTTTAATTATATATCAATATGAGATATAAATAGAAAT